TGTCACCATTGTCACCATTATTACTGTTGTCACCGTTGTCACTTTTGTCACTGTTGTGGCGGTTGTCACTCCTGTCACCCTTGTCACTGTTCTCGCTGTTGTCACTGTTGTCGCTGTTGTCGCGGTTCTCACCGTTGTCACCATTGTCGCTGTTGTCACTTTTGTCACCGTTGTCGCTGTTGTTGCTGTTGTCACCATGGGCGCTGTTACCTCGTTACCGTTGTCACTGTTGTCGCTGTTGTCACCGTTGTCACCATTCTCACTGTTGTCACTGTTGTCGCTGTTGTCACTGTTCACACTAATATCACTGTTATCGCTGTTGTCACCGTTCTCACCGTTGTCACCGCTCTCGCTGTTGTCACTGTTGTCACCGTTGTCACTGTTGTCACCCTTGTCACTATTGTCGCCGTTGTCACCGTTGTCACAGTTGTCACTGTTGTCACAGTTGTCACTGTGGTCACTGTTGTCACTGCTGTCACTGTTGTCGCTGTTGTCACTGTTGTCACCGTTGTCACCGTTGTCACTGTTGTCATTGTTGTCACCGTTGTCGCTGTTGTCACCGTTGTCACTATTGTTGCCATTGTCACTGTTGTCACCGTTGTCGCTGTTGTCACTGTTCTCTCTGTTGTCACCGTTGTCACCGTTGTCACTTTTGTTACTGTTGTCACTGTTGTCACCGTTGTCACCCTTGTCACTGTTCTCACCATTGTCATCGTTGTCACTGTTGACACTGTTGTGATTGTTGTCACCGTTGCCATCGTTGTCACCGTTGTCACTGTTGTCACTGTTGTCACCATTGTCATCGTTATCACCGTTGTCACCGTTGTCACCGTTTTCACTGTTGTCACCGTTGTCATTGTTGTCACCCTTCCCATCGTTGACATTGTTGTCATCGTTGTCACCGTTGTCATCGTTGTTGCAGTTGTCACTCTTGTCACCGTTGTCACCGTTGTCACCGTTGTCACCGTTGTCACTGTTGTCATCGTTGTCACTGTTGTCATCGCTGTCACCGTTGTCATCGTTGTCACTGTTGTCACTGTTGTCACCGTTTTCACCGTTGTCACCGTTGTCACCGTTTTCACTGTTGTCACCATTGTCACCGTTGTCACAGTTGTCATCGTTGTCACCGTTGTCATCGTTGTCACCGTTGTCGCTGTTGTCACTGTTGTCATCGTTGTCAGGGTTGTCACCGTTGTCATCCTTGTCACCGTTATCACCGATGCCACTGTTGTCACTGTTGTCACCGTTGTCATCGTTGTCACCGTTGTCATCGTTGTCACTGTTGTCACCGTTGTCATTGTTGTCACTGTTGTCACTGTTGTCACTGTTGTGATTGTTGTCACCGTTGTCATCGTTGTCACCGTTGTCACTGTTGTCACTGTTGTCATTGTTGTCACCGTTCCCATCGTTGATTTTCTTGTCATCGTTGTCACCGTTGTCGTCGTTGTTGCAGTTGTCACTCTTGTCACCGTTGTCACCGTTGTCACCGTTGTCACTGTTGTCATCGCTGTCATCGTTGTCACTGTTGTCACTGTTGTCACTGTTGTCACCGTTGTCACCTTTGTCACTGTTGTCACCGTTGTCATCGTTGTCACTGTTGTCACTGTTGTCACCGTTGTTACTGTTGTCACCGTTGTCACTGTTGTCACTGTTGTCACCATTGTCATCGTTATCACCGTTGTCACCGTTGTCACCGTTTTCACTGTTGTCACCGTTGTCATTGTTGTCACCGTTCCCATCGTTGACATTGTTGTCATCGTTGTTGCAGTTGTCACTCTTGTCACTCTTGTCACCGTTGTCACCGTTGTCACCGTTGTCACTGTTGTCATCGTTGTCACTGTTGTCATCGCTGTCACCGTTGTCATCGTTGTCACTGTTGTCACTGTTGTCACCCTTGTGACCGTTGTCACCGTTTTCACTGTTGTCACCATTGTCACCGTTGTCACAGTTGTCATCGTTGTCACCGTTGTCATCGTTGTCACCGTTGTCATCGTTGTCACCGTTGTCGCTGTTGTCACTGTTGTCATCGTTGTCAGGGTTGTCACCGTTGTCATCCTTGTCACCGTTATCACCGTTGCCACTGTTGTCACTGTTGTCACCGTTGTCACCGTTGTCATCGTTGTCACCGTTGTCATCGTTGTCACTGTTGTCAGCGTTGTCATTGTTGTCACCGTTGTCACTGTTGTCACCGTTGTCACTGTTGTCACCATTGTCACCGTTGTCACCGTTTTCACTGTTGTCACCGTTGTCATTGTTCTCACCGTTGTCATAGTTGTCATCGTTGTCACCATTGTCATCGTTGTTGCAGTTGTCACTGTTGTCACCGTTGTCAACGTTGTCACCGTTGTCACTGTTGTCATCGTTGTCACTGTTGTCATCGCTGTCACCGTTGTCATCGTTGTCACTGTTGTCACTGTTGTCATCGTTGTCACCGTTGTCACCGTTGTCACCGTTGTCATTGTTGTCACCGTTGTCATCGTCGTCATCGTTGTCACCGTTGTCACCGTTGTCATCGTTGTCACTGTTGTCATCGCTGTCACCGTTGTCATCGTTGTCACTGTTGTCACTGTTGTCACCGTTGTCACAGTTGTCACTGTTGTCACAGTTGTCATCGTTGTCACTGTTGTCATTGTTGTCATCGTTGTCACCGTTGTCATCGTTGTCATCGTTATAACCGTTGTCACTGTTGTCACCGTTGTCACCGTTGTCACTGTTGTCATCATTGTCACTGTTGTCATCGCTGTCACCGTCTTCATCGGTTTCACTGTTGTCACTGTTGTCACCGTTGTCACGGTTGTCATCGTTGTCACTGTTGTCATCGTTGTCACCGTTGTCACTGTTGTCACCGTTGTCACCGTTGTCATCGTTGTCACCGTTGTCATCGTTGTCACCGTTGTCACTTGTCACTGTTGTCACCGTTGTCACCGTTGTCACTGTTGTCATCGTTGTCACTGTTGTCACTGTTGTCACCGTTGTCACCGTTGTCACTGTTGTCACTGTTGTCACCGTTGTCATCGTTGTCACTGTTGTCACTGTTGTCATCGTTGTCACCGTTGTCATCGTTGTCATCGTTGTCACCGTTGTCACTGTTGTCACTATTGTTATCGTTGACACTGTTGTCACTGCTGTCACTGTTGTCATTGTTCTCGCTGTTGTCACTGTTGTCACTATTGTCATCGTTGTCATCGTTGTCACCGTTGTCATCGTTGTGATCGTTGTCACCGTTGTCATCGTTGTCACCGTTGTCATCGTTGTCACCGTTGTCATCGTTGTTGCACTTGTCACTGTTGTCACCGTTGTCACCGTTGTCATCATTGTCACTGTTGTCATCGCTGTCACCGTTGTCATCGTTGTCACTGTTGTCACTGTTGTCACCGTTGTCACAGTTGTCACGGTTGTCACAGTTGTCGCTGTGGTCACTGTTGTCACTGCTGTCACTGTTGTCGCTGTTGTCACTGTTGTCACCGTTGTCACCGTTGTCACCATTGTCACTGTTGTCACTGTTGTCTCCGTTGTCACCATTGTTGCCATTGTCACTGTTTTCACCGTTGTCGCTGTTGTCACTGTTCTCTCTGTTGTCACCGTTGTCACCGTTGTCACTTTTTTTACTGTTGTCACTGTTGTCACCGTTGTCTCCCTTGTCACTGTTGTCACTGTTCTCACCATTGTCATCGTTGTCACTGTTGACACTGTTGTGATTGTTGTCACCGTTGTCATCGTTGTCACCGTTGTCACTGTTGTCACTGTTGTCACCATTGTCATCGTTATCACCGTTGTCACCGTTTTCACTGTTGTCACCGTTGTCATTGTTGTCACCGTTCCCATCGTTGACATTGTTGTCATCGTTGTCATCGTTGTTGCAGTTGTCACTCTTGTCACCGTTGTCACCGTTGTCACCGTTGTCACCGTTGTCACCGTTTTCACTGTTGTCATCGTTGTCACTGTTGTCATCGCTGTCACCGTTGTCATCGTTGTCACTGTTGTCACTGTTGTCACCGTTTTCACCGTTGTGACTGTTGTCACCGTTTTCACTGTTGTCACCATTGTCACCGTTGTCACCGTTGTCATCGTTGTCACTGTTGTCACTGTTGTCATCGTTGTCAGGGTTGTCACCGTTGTCATCCTTGTCACCGTTATCACCGATGCCACTGTTGTCACTGTTGTCACTGTTGTCACCGTTGTCATCGTTGTCACCGTTGTCAGTGTTGTCAGTGTTGTCACTGTTGTCACCATTGTCACCGTTGTCACCGTTTTCACTGTTGTCACCGTTGTCACCGTTGTCATTGTTGTCACCGTTGTCATAGTTGTCATCGTTGTCACCGTTGTCATCGTTGTCACCGTTGTCACTGTTGTCACCGTTGTCACTGTTGTCACTGTTGTCACAGTTGTCATCGTTGTCACGGTTGTCACTGTTGTCATCGTTGTCACCGTTGTCATCGTTGTCACCGTTGTCACTGTTGTCACCGTTGTCACCGTTGTCACCGTTGTCACCGTTGTCACCGTTGTCACTGTTGTCACTTCGTTGTCATCGTTGTCATCGTTGTCATCGTTGTTGCACTTGTCACTGTTGTCACCGTTGTCACCGTTGTCACTGTTGTCATCGTTGTCACTGTTGTCATCGCTGTCACCGTTGTCATCGTTGTCACTGTTGTCACTGTTGTCACCGTTGTCACAGTTGTCACTGTTGTCACCGTTGTCATCGTTGTCACTGTTGTCACTGTTGTCATCGTTGTCACCGTTGTCATCGTTGTCACCGTTGTCACCGTTGTCACCGTTGTCACCGTTGTCATTGTTGTCACCGTTGTCATCGTTGTCACCGTTGTCACTGTTGTCATCGTTGTCACCGTTGTCACCGTTGTCACTGTTGTCACCGTTGTCACTGTTGTCACTGTTGTCACAGTTGTCATCGTTGTCACCGTTGTCAACGTTGTCATCATTGTTGTCACCGTTGTCATCGTTGTCATCATTGTCATCGTTGTCATCGTTGTCATTGTTGTCACCGTTGTCACCGTTGTCATCGTTGTCACCGTTGTCACCGTTGTCATCGTTGTCACCGTTGTCACCGTTGTCATCGTTGTCACTGTTGTCACCGTTGTCATCGTTGTCACCTTTGTCGTTGTCGTTGTCACCGTTGTCACCGTTGTCACCGTTGTCACCCTTGTCACTGTTGTCACCGTTGTCACCGTTGTCACCGTTGTCACCGTTGTCACCGTTGTCACCGTTGTCATCGTTGTCACCGTTGTCATCGTTGTTGTCGTTCGTTGTCACCGTTGTCACCGTTGTCACCGTTGTCACCGTTGTCACCGTTGTCATCGTTGTCACCGTTGTCACCGTTGTCACCGTTGTCACCGTTGTCATCGTTGTCACCGTTGTCACCGTTGTCACCGTTGTCATCGTTGTCACCGTTGTCACCGTTGTCACCGTTGTCACCGTTGTCACCGTTGTCATCGTTGTCACCGTTGTCACCGTTGTCACCGTTGTCACCGTTGTCATCGTTGTCACCGTTGTCACCGTTGTCACCGTTGTCACCGTTGTCACTGTTGTCACCGTTGTCACCGTTGTCACCGTTGTCATCGTTGTCACTGTTGTGACCGTTGTCAGTTGTCACTGGTATCATCGTTGTCATCGTTGTGACCGTTGTCAACGTTGTCAGTGTTGTCACCCTTGTCACCGTTGTCACAGTTGTCACTGTTGTCACAGTTGTCATCGTTGTCACCGTTGTCATCGTTGTCATGGTTGTCACTGTGTTCACCGTTGTCATCGTTGTCACCGTTGTCATTGTTGTCACCTTTGTGCCGTTGTCATCGTTGTCACTGTTGTAACCGTTGTCACAGTTGTGACCATTGTCACTGTTGTAACCGTTGTCACCGTTGTCACATTAGTCACTGTTGTCACTGTTGGCACAGTTGTCATCGTTGTCACTTCTGTCGCCGTTCTCATCGTTGTCATTGTTGTCACCGTTGTCATCGTTGTCACAGTTGTCACCGTTGTCACCGTTGTCACCGTTGTCACCGTTGTCATCGTTGTCACTGTTGTCACTGTTGTCACCGTTGTCACCGTTGTCACCGTTGTCATCGTTGTCACCGTTGTCACCGTTGTCACTGTTGTCACCGTTGTCATCGTTGTCATCGTTGTCACCGTTGTCACCGTTGTCACCGTTGTCACCGTTGTCACTGTTGTCATCGTTGTCACTCGTTGTCACCGTTGTCACCGTTGTCACTGTTGTCATCGTTGTCACCGTTGTCATCGTTGTCACCGTTGTCACTGTTGTCACCGTTGTCACCGTTGTCACTGTTGTCACTGTTGTCATCGTTGTCACCGTTGTCACCGTTGTCATCGTTGTCACTGTTGTCATCGTTGTCACCGTTGTCACCGTTGTCACCGTTGTCACCGTTGTCACCGTTGTCACCGTTGTCACTGTTGTCACCGTTGTCATCGTTGTCACCGTTGTCATCGTTGTCACCGTTGTCACCGTTGTCATCGTTGTCACTCTTGTCACCGTTGTCACCGTTGTCACCGTTGTCACCGTTGTCATCGTTGTCACTGTTGTCACCGTTGTCACTGTTGTCATCGTTGTCACTGTTGTCATCGTTGTCACTGTTGTCACCGTTGTCATCGTTGTCACTGTTGTCACCGTTGTCACCGTTGTCATCGTTGTCACTGTTGTCACCGTTGTCACCGTTGTCACTGTTGTCACTGTTGTCACCGTTGTCATCGTTGTCACCGTTGTCACTGTTGTCACCGTTGTCACCGTTGTCACTGTTGTCATCGTTGTCACCGTTGTCATCGTTGTCACCGTTGTCACTGTTGTCACCGTTGTCATCGTTGTCATCGTTGTCACCGTTGTCACTGTTGTCACCGTTGTCACTGTTGTCACTGTTGTCATCGTTGTCACTGTTGTCATCGCTGTCACCGTTGTCATCGTTGTCACTGTTGTCACTGTTGTCACCGTTGTCACCGTTGTCATCGTTGTCACCGTTGTCATCGTTGTCACTGTTGTCACTGTTGTCACCGTTGTCACAGTTGTCACTGTTGTCACCGTTGTCACCGTTGTCATCGTTGTCACTGTTGTCATCGTTGTCACCGTTGTCATCGTTGTCATCATTGTCACCGTTGTCACTGTTGTCACCGTTGTCACTGTTGTCATCGTTGTCACTGTTGTCATCGCTGTCACCGTTGTCATCGTTGTCACTGTTGTCACCGTTGTCACCGTTGTCACAGTTGTCACTGGTTTCACAGTTGTCATCGTTGTCACTGTTGTCACTGTTGTCATCGTTGTCACCGTTGTCATCGTTGTCATCGTTGTCACCGTTGTCACTGTTGTCACCGTTGTCACCGTTGTCACTGTTGTCATCGTTGTCACTGTTGTCATCGCTGTCACCGTTGTCATCGTTGTCACTGTTGTCACTGTTGTCACCGTTGTCACAGTTGTCACCGTTGTCACCGTTGTCATCGTTGTCACTGTTGTCACTGTTGTCACCGTTGTCATCGTTGTCACTGTTGTCACAGTTGTCACCGTTGTCACTGTTGTCACCGTTGTCATCGTTGTCACTGTTGTCACTGTTGTCACCGTTGTCACTGTTGTCACCGTTGTCACCGTTGTCACCGTTGTCACTGTTGTCATCGTTGTCACTGTTGTCACCGTTGTCACCGTTGTCATCGTTGTCACCGTTGTCACTCGTTGTCACTGTTGTCACCGTTGTCATCGTTGTCACCGTTGTCACCGTTGTCACCGTTGTCACCGTTGTCACCGTTGTCATTGTTGTCACCGTTGTCATCGTCGTCATCGTTGTCATTGTTGTCACCGTTGTCATCGTTGTTGCACTTGTCACTGTTGTCACCGTTGTCACTGTTGTCATCGTTGTCACTGTTGTCATCGCTGTCACCGTTGTCATCGTTCTCACTGTTGTCACTGTTGTCATCGTTGTCACCGTTGTCATCGTTGTCACCGTTGTCATCGTTTTTGCACTTGTCACTGTTGTCACCGTTGTCATCGTTGTCACTGTTGTCATCGCTGTCACCGTTGTCATCGTTGTCACTGTTGTCACTGTTGTCACCAATGTCACAGGTGTCACTGTTGTCACAGTTGTCGCTGTGGTCACTGTTTTCACTGCTTTCACTGCTGTCACTGTTGTCGCTGTTGTCACTGTTGTCACCGTTGTCACCGTTGTCACCATTGTCACTGTTGTCATTGTTCTCACCGTTGTCACCATTGTTGCCATTGTCAGTGTTGTCACCGTTGTCGCTGTTGTCACTGTTCTCTCTGTTGTCACCGTTGTCACCGGTTTCACTTTTGTTACTGTTGTCACTGTTGTCACCGTTGTCACCCTTGTCACTGTTGTCACTGTTCTCACCATTGTCATCGTTGTCACTGTTAACACTGTTGTGATTGTTGTCACCGTTGTCATCGTTGTCACCGTTGTCACTGTTGTCACTGTTGTCACATTGTCATCGTTATCACCGTTGTCACCGTTGTCACCGTTTTCGCTGTTGTCACCGTTGTCATTGTTGTCACCGTTGTCATCGTTGACATCGTTGTCATCGTTGTCACCGTTGTCCTCGTTGTTGCAGTTGTCACTCTTGTCACCGTTCTGACCGTTGTCACTGTTGTCATCGTTGTCACTGTTGTCATCGCTGTCACCGTTGTTATCGTTGTCACTGTTGTCACCGTTTTTACCGTTGTGACCGTCGTCACCGTTTTCACTGTTGTCACCATTGTCACCGTTGTCACAGTTGTCATCGTTGTCACCGTTGTCATCGTTGTCACCGTTGTCGCTGTTGTCACTGTTGTCATCGTTGTCAGGGTTGTCACCGTTGTCATCCTTGTCACCGTTATCACCGATGCCACTGTTTTCACTGTTGTCATCGTTGTCACCGTTGCCACTGTTGTCATCGTTGTCATCGTTGTCACAATTGTCACCGTTGTCGCCGTTGTCACCGTTGTCACTGTCGCCACTGTTGTCACCGTTGTCACCGTTGTTACCGTTGTCATCATTATCACTGTTGTCACTGTTGTCACCGTTTTCACCGTTGTTACTGTTATTACTGTTGTCACTGCTGTCACTGTTGTCATTGTTGTCGCTGTTGTGACTGTTGTCACTATTGTCATTGTTGCCACCGTTGTCACCGTTGTCATTGTTGTCACCGTTGTCATCGTCGTCATCGTTGTCATCGTTGTCACCGTTGTCATGGTTGTTGCACTTGTCACTGTTGTCACCGTTGTCACTGTTGTCATCGTTGTCACTGTTGTCATCGCTGTCACCGTTGTCATCGTTGTCACTGTTGTCATTGTCATCATCGTTGTCACCGTTGTCATCGTTGTCATCGTTGTCACCGTTGTCACTGTTGTCACTGTTGTCACTATTGTTATCGTTGTCAGCGTTGTCACCCTTGTCACCGTTGTCATTGTTGTCATCGTTGTCATCGTTGTCATCGTTGTCACCGTTGTCATCGTTGTTGCTGTTGTGACTCTTGTCACTGTTGTCACTGTTGTCATCGTTGGCACTGTTGTCATCGTTGTCACCGTTGTCATTGTTGTCACTGTTGTCACTGTTGTCATTGTTGTCATCGTTGTCACCGTTGTCATCGTTGCACCGTTGTCACCTTTGTCACTGTTGTCATCGTTGTCACCGTTGTCACCTTTGTCATCGTTGTCACCGTTGTCAGTTTTGTCACTATTGTCATCCTTTTCACCGTTGTTGTCATCCTTGTCACTGTTGTCACCGTTGTCATCGTTGTCAACGTTTTCACTGTTGTCACTGTTGTCATCGTTGTCAGCGTTGTCACCATTGTCACCGTTGTCGCCGTTGTCATCGTTGTCACTCTTGTCACTGTTGTCACCGTTGTCACTGTTGTCACCGTTTTCACCGTTGTTGCTGTTATTACTGTTGTCACTCTTGTCACTGCTGTTACTGTTGTCATCGTTGTCACCGTTGTCACCGTTGTCACCGTTGTCATTGGTGTCACCGTTGTCATCGTCGTCATCGTTGTCATCGTTGTCACCGTTGTCATCGTTGTTGCACTTGTCACTGTTGTCACCGTTGTCACCGTTGTCACTCTTGTCATCGTTGTCACTGTTGTCATCGCTGTTACTGTTGTCATCGTTGTCACTGTTGTCACTGTTGTCATCGTTGTCACCGTTGTCATCGTTCTCATCGTTGTCACCGTTGTCACTGTTGTCACTGTTGTCATCGTTGTCACCGTTGTCATCGTTGTCATCGTTGTCACCTTTGTCACTGTTGTCACTGGTGTCACTATTGTTATCGTTGTCACCGTTGTCACCGTTGTCCCCCTTGTCACCGTTGTCATTGTTGTCATCGTTGTCATCGTTGTCATCGTTGTCACCGTTGTCATCGTTGTTGCTGTTGTCACTGTTGTCATCGTTGTCACTGTTGTCATCGCTGTCACCGTTGTCATCGTTGTCACTGTTATCACTGTTGTCATCGTTGTCACCGTTGTCATCGTTGCACCGTTGTCACCGTTGTCACCGTTGTCACTGTTTTCATCGTTGTCACCGTTGGCACCTTTGTCAGCGGTGTCACCGTTGTCATTGTTGTCACTATTGTCATCCTTGTCACCGTTGTCACCCTTGTCACCGTTGTCACTGTTGTCACGGTTGTCACCGTTGTCATCCTTGTCACTGTTGTCACCGTTGTCATCGTTGTTAACGTTTCCACTGTTGTCACTGTTGTCATCGTTGTCACCGTTGTCACCATTTTCACCGTTGTCGCCGTTCTCACCGTTGTCACTGTTGTCACTGTTGTCACCGTTGTCACCGTTGTTACCGTTGTCATCGTTATCACTGTTGTCACTGTTGTCACCGTTTTCACCGTTGTTACTGTTATTACTGTCGTCCCTTTTGTCACCGCTGTCACTGTTGTCATTGTCTTCACTGTTGTCGCTGTTGTCACCGGTGTCACCGTTGTCACCGTTGTCACCCTTGTCACCGTTTTCATCGTTGTCACCGTTGTCATCGTTGTCAACGTTTTCACTGTTGTCACTGTTGTCATCTTTGTCACCGTTGTCACCATTGTCACCGTTGTCACTGTTGTCACTGTTGTCACTGTTGTCGCCGTTGTTACCGTTGTCATCGTTATCACTGTTGTCACTGTTGTCACCGTTTTCACCGTTGTTACTGTTATTACTTTTGTCACTGTTGTCACTGTTGTCACCGCTGTCACTGTTGTCATTGTTCTCACTGTTGTCACTGTTGTCGCTGTTGTCACTGTTGTCACTATTGTCATTGTTGTCACTGTTGTCACCGTTGTCACCGTTTTCATCGTTGTCACTGTTCTCATCGTTGTCACTGTTGTCACCGTTGTCCCCGTTGTCATCGTTGTCATTGTTCTCACCGTTGTCATTGTTGTCACCGTTGTCATCGGTGTCACTGTTGTCACTGTTGTCACGGTTGTCATCATTGTCACCGTTGTCATCGTTGTCACCGTTGTCACCTTTGTCATTGCTGTCACTGTTGTGATTGTTGTCACTGTTGTCATGGCTGTCACCGTTGTCATCGTTGTCACTGTTGTCACTTTTGTCATTGTTGTCATCGTTGTCGCTGTTGTCACTGTTGTCATCGTTGTCACGCTTGTCATCGTTGTCACCGTTGTCATCGTTGTCATCGTTGTCACCTTTGTCATTGTTGTCACCGTTGTCATCGTTGTCACCGTTGTCACTGTTGTCACCATTGTCATCGTTGTCACCGTTGTCACCGTTGTGACTGTTGTCACCGTTGTCATTGTTGTCATCATTGTGATCGTTGTCATCGTTGTCACCGTTGTCATCGTTGTTGCTGTTGTCACTGTTGTCACTATTGTCATCGTTGTCACTGTTGTCATCGCTGTCATCGTTGTCATCTTTGTCACCGTTGTCACTGTTGTCACTGTTGTCATCGCTGTTACCGTTGTCACCGTTGTCACCCTTGTCACCGTTGTCACCCTTGTCACCGTTGTCACTGTTGTCACTGTTGTCACCGTTGTCATCGTTTTCACTGTTGTCACCGTTGTCACTGTTGTCATCGTTGCCACTGTTTTCATTGTTGTCACCGTTGTTATCGTTGTCACTGTTGTTACTGTTGTAACTGTTGTCACTGTTTTCACTGTTGTCATCGTTGTCACCGTTATCTTCGTTGTTACCGTTGTCGAGCTGTTGTCACTGGTGTCACCGTTGTTATCGTTGTCACAGTTGTCACCGTTGTCATCCTTGTCACTGTTGTCACCGTGGTCATCGTTGTCATCGTTGAGACTGTTGTCACCGTTGTCACCGTTGTCACTGTTGTTACTATTGTTACCCTTCTCACTGTTGTCACTGTTCTCACCGTTGTCACTGTGTTCACCATTGTCACCGTTGTCACTGTTGTCACTGTTGTCACTGTTGTCACCGTTGTCACCGTTGTCACTTTTGTCACCGTTGTCACTGTTGTCACTATTGTTACCCTTCTCCCCCTTGTCACTGTTGTCACCGTGGTCATCGTTGTCATCGTTGAGACTGTTGTCACCGTTGTCACCGTTGTCACTGTTGTCATTGTTGTCACCGTTGTCACCGTTGTCATTGTTGTCACCGTTGTCACCGTTGTCACTGTTGTCACCGTTGTCACTGTTGTCACTATTGTTACCCTTCTCACTGTTGTCACTGTTGTCACCGTTGTCACTGTGTTCACCATTGTTACCGTTGTCACCGTTGTTACGGTTGTCATCGTTGTCACTTTTGTCGCCGTTGTTACCGTTGTCATCGTTGTCACTGTTGTCACTGTTGTCACCGTTTTTATCGTTGTCACCATTGTCATCGTTGTCACCGTTGTCACCATTTACACTGTTGTCACCGTTGTCACCATTGTCATTGTTGTCACCGTTGTCGTCGTTGTCATCGTTATCATCGTTGTCATCGTTGTCACCGTTGTCATCGTTGTTGCTTTTGTCACTGTTGTTACTGTTGTCATCGCTGTTACCGTTGTCATCGTTGTCACTGTTGTCACTGTTCTTATAGTTGTCATCGTTGTCACTGTTGTCTCTGTTGTCACCGTTGTCATTGTTGTCACCGTTGTCACCGTTGTCACCGTTGTCATCGTTGTCACCGTTGTCATCGTTCTCACTGTTTTCACTGTTGTCACTGTTGTCATCGTTGTCACCGTTGTCATCGTTGTCATCTTTGTCACCGTTGTCACTGTTGTCACTGTTGTCACTATCGTCATCGTTGTCACCGTTGTCATCGGTTTCACTGTTGTCACCGTTGTCACTGTGTTCACCATTGTCACCGTTGTCACTTTTGTCACCGTTGTCACCAGTGTTACCGTTGTCACCGTTGTTACGGTTGTCATCGTTGTCACTCTTGTCACCGTTTTCACCGTTGTCACCATTGTCATCGTTGTCGCCGTTGTCACCGTTGTCACCATTTTCACTGTTGTCACCGTTGTCACCGTTGTCATTGTTGTCATCGTAGTCATCGGTGTCATCGTTGTCATCGTTGTTGCTTTTGTCACTGTTGTTATTGTTGTCATCGCTGTTACCGTTGTCATCGTTGTCACTGTTGTAACTGTTCTCATTGTTGTCATCGTTGTCACTGTTTCCTCCGTTGTCACCGTTGTCATCCTTCTCAACGTTGTCACCGTTGTCATCGTTGTCACCGTTGTCACCGTTGTCACCGTTGTCACTTTTGTCACTGTTGTCACTGTTGTCATCGTTGTCACCGTTGTCATCGTTGTCATTTTTGTCACCGTTGTCACTGTTGTCACTGTTGTCACTATTGTCATCGTTGTCACCCTTGTCACCGTTGTCACTGTTGTCAGTGTTGTCACCGTTGTCACCGTTGTCATCGTTGTCACCGTTGTCATCGTTGTCAACGTTTTCACTGTTGTCACTGTTGTCATCGTTGTCACCATTGTCACCGTTGTCACCGTTGTCACTGTTGTCACCGTTGTCACCGTTGTTACTGTTGTCATCGTTATCACTGTTGTCACTGTTGTCACCGTTTTCACTGTTGTTACTGTTATTACTGTTGTCACTGTTGTCACCGCTGTCACTGTTGTGATTGTTGTCACTGTTTTCACTGTTGTTGCTGTTGTCACTGTTGTCCCTGTTGTCACTGTTGTCATCGTTGTCACTGTTGTCACCGTTGTCACCGTTGTCACCGTTGTCACTGTTGTCATCGTTGTCACTGTTGTCAGCGTTGTCACGATTGTCACGGTTGTCACCGTTGTCACCGTTGTCACCGTTGTCATCGTTGTCACCGTTGTCATCGTTCTCACCGTTTTTATCGTTTTCACTGTTGTCACTGTTGTCACTGTTGTCATCGTTGTCACCGTTGTCATCGTTGTCACCGTTGTCATCGTTGTCACAGTTTTCACCGTTGTCATCGTTGTCACCGTTTTCATCGTTGTCACTTTGGTCATCGTTGTCACTGTTCTCGTCGTCATCGTTGTCACCAGTGTCACCGTTGTCACCGTTCTCGTCGTTGTCATCTTTGTCACCGTTGCCATCGTTGTCACCGTTGTCACCGTTGTCATCGTTGTCACTGTTGTCACCGTTGTCACTGTTGTCATCGTTGCCACTGTTCTCATCGTTGTCACCGTTGTCATCGTTGTCACTGTTGTTACTCTTGTAACGTTTGTCACTGTTGTCACTGTTGTCATCGTTGTCACCGTTGTCTTCGTTGTTACCGTTGTCGAGCTGTTGTCACTGTTGTCATCGTTGTCACTGTTGTCACCGTTGTTATCGTTGTCACGGTTGTCACCGTTGTCATCCTTCTCACTGTTGTCACCGTTGGTATCGTTGGCACGGTTGTCACCGTTGTCATCCTTTTCACTGTTGTCACCGTGGTCATCGTTGTCACCGTTGTCATCGTTGTCACTGTTGTCATTGTTTTCACCGTTGTCGCCGTTGTCACTGTTGTTACCGTTTTCACTGTTGTCACTGTTGTCACTGTTGTCACCATTGTCACCGTTGTCACTCTTGTCACTCTTGTCACCGTTGTCACCATTGTTACCGTTGTCACCGTTGTTACCGTTGTCATCGTTGTCACTGTTGTCACCGTTGTCACCGTTGTCACCGTTTTCATCGTTGTCACCGTTGTCACCGTTGTCGTCGTTGTCACCGTTGTCACTGTTGTCACTGTTGTCGCCATTGTCATCGTTGTCACCGTTGTCACCATTTTCACTGTTGTCACCGTTGTCATTGTTGTCACCGTTGTCATCGTTGTCATCGTTGTCATCGTTGTCACCGTTGTCATCGTTGTTGCTTTTGTCACTGTTGTTACTGTTGTCATCGGTGTCACCGTTGTCATCGTTGTCACTGTTGTCACTGTTGTCATTGTTGTCATCGTTGTCACTGTTGTCTCTGTTGTCACCGTTGTCACCGTCGTCACTGTTGTCACTGTTGTCACTGTTGTTATCGTTGTCACCGTTGTCACCGTTGTCACCCTTGTCACCGTTGTCATTCTTGTCACTGTTGTGATTGTTGTCACCGTTGTCATTCTTGTCACCGTTGTCATCGTTGTCAACGTTTTCACTGTTGTCACTGTTGTTATCGTTGTCATGGTTGATGTTGTCACTGTTGTAATCGTTGTTACTGTTGTAATCGTTGTCACCGTTGTCATCGTTGTCACTGTTGTCACCATTGTTATTGTTGTCACTGTTGTGATCGCTGTCACCGTTGTCATCGTTGTCACTGTTGTCACTGTTGTCATCGTACTCACCGTTGTCATCGTTGTTACTGTTGTCGCTGTTGTCATCGTTTTGCCTGTTGTCATCGTTGTGCCTGTTGTCATCGTTGTCACCGTCGTTATCGTTGTCACTGTTGTCATCGTTGTCATCGTTGTCACCGTTGTCACTGTTTTCATCGTTGTCACTCTAGTCACTGTTGTCACCGTTGTCATTGTTGTCACCATTGTCACTGTTGTCACTGTTGTCACTTTTGTCATAGTTGTCACCGTTGTCACTGTTGTCACTGTTGTCACGGTTGTCATCGTTGGCACCGTTTTTATCGTTGTCACCGTTGTCGCTGTTGTCATCGTTGTCACGGTTGTCACCGTTGTCACTGTTGTCACCGTTGTCACCGTTGTCATCGTTGTCATCGTTGTCACCGTTGTTACCGTTGTCATTGTTGTCATCCTTGTCACTGTTGTCACCGTTGTCATCGTTGTCACCGTTGTCATCGTTCTCACCGTTGTCACCGTTGTCACTGTTGTCACTGTTGTGATTGTTGTCACCGTTGTCATCGTTGTGGCCGTTGTCAGTGTTGTCAGTGTTGTCACGATTTTCATTTTGTCACCGTTGTCACCGTTGTCACCGTTTTTACCGTTTTCTCTGTTGTCACTGTTGTCACCGTTGCCACCGTTGTCATTCTTGTCACCGTTGTCATTGTTGTCATTGTTGTCATCGTTGGCATCGTTTTCACCGTTTTCATCGTTGTCGCTGTTGTCACTGTGGTCATCGTTGTCACTATTGTCATCGCTGTCACCGTTGTCATCGTTGTCACTGTTGTCACTGTTGTCATCGTTGTCATCGTTGTTACCGTTGTCATCGTTGTCATCTTTGAAGCTTCCTTGTTTATGGTTTATACGTTTTAGCGACACCTTTTTCTTCAATCAGGAATATCATAGTTCACTGATGCTTTACCTGGTATGCTCTATTTAAGTTTCTGGAAGACATCTGTCAATCTCTCTTACCCTGTCTTGTCATCTACTCTAATTAACGAATTATTTATGTTTAAGTGTCGTCTTTAATTGTACACCCTTTTTTTGCTTTTTTTCGCATAAATGTCTTTCTAATTATGGCGAAAGGGTTAATCAAAGAAAAAGGATTTCTGAAACTATTTCATGTAAGGTAATAGCATGATTTGTAGTGATATTTGGCATAAATACCACGAGTGATATTTCAAAATTGTTATACGGCGAGTGAAATTTGAGACAGTTTTGAGATATCACGAGTGGTATTTATGCCTAATATCACGTACAAATCATGCTATTATTTGTTTATACTACTACCCTCAAAAGGTTTGTAATTTTCACATGTAGGTATTTCAAATTAAGCTGAAATACCACACTGCTCTAAGCCAATCAAATTGCAGAAAATTCTCATGTAGTAGTGTAATACTAATTGTAATCAACAGATTCAGGATTTAAGCTTGCTCCACTACCAAGCCCATCTGGCCGTGCATCTTCATCACCTGCCATCGTCACGACATCATCCCCAGCTATTGGCATGTCCACTACAATCTCTGGCACCCCTCCAAGACTTCTTGGAACCCCTCCCCGGGTAAGTACATATAAAATATTACACACTGTATGTTTACTTTACATTGCAAATCTGTATTGATCATTGCGTTTGTAGAAAGAAAAGCTCGTTTTAGCTTTTTAGAACTTTTGAACCCAAAAATTATTCTCATGGTACTAGTTTCAGGATGTGGTAATCTCTTTTCAGACTTGAGATGTCACTTGTGCGGCTTGCAAGTCTACATGTAACTACTGTCAGTAAAGTCCCTGTCATTTCTTAATATACCAGAAATGTTGCAGATTAAAATGGACAGCCTTAAACACTTAAAGCAGACAAAATGTACATGTAAAGCTTAATATATATGTTGTTAATACTCCTCATCACATGTATGTAAAGTGTAATTCTTCCTTTCAGTCTAACAACAGCTCACCAAGGTCACCTTTGAATGGCACACCATCATTTCATAATGAAACTACTGTGGCTACTCCTGATTCTTGGTATGTTGCGTGTTCGACTGATTATATTATTCTTATTTTACAATTTTAAGAGGCATGGGCAATTGATAAATAGTTATCCCGTAACACTTCTATTCGCAGTAGTGACCAACGTCAGTATTCTCCTGACAATGTCAATACAAAATCAAGAAAAAAAAGTTAGGAGAATTAATGAAATGATCACCAAAAGGAAAATACTTTGAATTCTAAATAAATTCTTTCAACTTTTTTCTCAAGGAAATGTATGGAGGAAAGTCTAAGGAATTCGTGTAAGGATATTAAATGGGGTTTAAAGGTTTATGTTGGGCTTTTTCAGTAATTACCTCGCAACTTTACAGTGAACTGTGATACCGTAAAATTCCGAAAATAAGCGCCGGGGCTTATATTTTTCAAAGGTCCTTTTTTTGCAAGTACAAGCCGCCAGGGGGCTTATATTTGGAGGGGCGATTTAACAGGGGATTTTTTGCGTTACCCGTTTGGGGGGCTTATATTTGGAGGGGCTTATACATGGAGGGGCCTATTTTCGGAATTTTACGGCATTGCATTATAAAGTTGATGAACGAATTTATCTGTATTTTTCCCATCTAGGTCCAGGCACTCATCACCAGGCAGGTCGTCATGTAAGTGCTTCCAGATCAATTTCCATTACATGTAGCTTGCTCTTGCCTCTGTTTTTCACCCCTACAATTTTTTAAGTTTGGTGGTACACGTACAAATTTATTGGACCTAATAAAACCATATATATGTAAATTATGGAAAGATGACCTTGGCTGACTTTGTTACAAAACTTATATTTTGTTTTGTTTTTTTGTTGTTTTTTAATTTAGTTGCATCTGGTGACTGTATAACAGATCTAAACTCACTCACACAATACCTTCGAGAACAAGACGAAGAAGGGGAAAGGCTTCAGAGAGGTCCACATACTTGTGATTAACAATAATATTACTTACATACTTACTTCCTGTTGATTCCTAGTAGAGGAGGTGATGAAAACCCACTTCATAGGGGTCAATCTCTCATCTCATGAAATTCTTGTTATCTTGTTGTTTAATAATGTGTTCCTGTTAAGGGATCAGGATACCATTTTTAGATTCAAAGCTTTGGAAACCCCTCTGTGCTGGATTATTCCATATGTCCTGCAACCATCATGAAATATAAATTAAGTGATGCAACAATTTTATGAATTAACTTCTGAAGTTAATAATGAAATTGTTTACCAAACCTGGTATACATTGATAGTTACATATAGTAGTCAATGTACATGTACATGTATTTCATCTTTTTTGTAAAATTTCTTGCCAGTTTCATCGCCAGATGCTCTTTCTGTTGGAAGAAGTCAGCAATATTGGTCAGGTTACAGATATGATTTCACACCGCCGTTGAATGTGTATAGAATTGCAAGGAGGTTTGTGTTAGTGTTAGTCTAGTCTTCTCTATGCGAACTGTAAGTTATAAAATCTCAAGGGTTGAAGGGTCCCCTCTCAAACTCATTAATAATTTATAACGAGGAAACAAAGAAAATCATTACATTACATTACATTACATAACATAACATAACAAACATAACATAACAAACATAACATAACATAACACAACTGACAACAAACCTAACAAACATTACATAACACAACATTACAAAACATTACATTACATAACAACATTACATTACATTACATAACATAACATAACATACATTACATAACATAACATTACATTACATAAGATAACATAACAAGCGTAACATAAGATACATTACATTACATAACATAACACTGTTATATAACAGTATAACTGTTATATGACAGTTATATAACTGTCATTTATTATTCATTCAAAATATTTCCCCGATTCTGATTGGCTAAAAGCACACGTTTAATTCACCATAACCAGTTACTGATGACCAAATTTGGAAGAACTTTGACTTTAACGAGGAAATGACGTCAAAAATGCAGCGTTTTCACAGGTTAAGGCACCGTTAACCGAGAAGACCTGGGGACGAGGTTGAGTTGTTTTGGTTGTGAACTAATGTGAACTTGAAAAAATGGCGGACATTTCACTCGTTTCAAGAATAAGAACTAGGCCAAAAAATAGCTAAAAACATGGCAAGAACAGCAAGAAGGCAACTCGAAGAGCGACATCTGCTATTTGGAGAATATTTGCGGAGCTGGACAAACCTAAACGTACACTATCGAAGATGAACTGAACATTGATGGATCGATGGAGGTAAGCATAATTTAGCTATGTTTTTATACTAGGAATTATTTTGAATGAATAATAAAACAGTTATTGAATTCGGCTTTCGTATCATATGAAGAATTATGGAGATCTCGGAGGGTGTTATTCCCCTCGGCCTACGGCCTCGACGGATAACACCCTCCTCGATCTCCATAATTCTTCATAAGATACTCAGCCTCATTCATTAACTGTTAAATAACAGTAACGTAACTCACAGTTATATGACAGTTATAAAACTGTTATATATACTGTTGTATAACACTGTTATATAACAGTTATATAACTGTTATATAGCTGTTACATAACAGTATATAACAGTTACTAACAGTTATATAACTGTTATACCAGTTATATATAATAGTTATATAACTGTTATATTTAACAATTATTCCACGAGGGCGCATTGGATATGAAATGATAGATAGCCAACGAGGCGCGTAGCGCCGAGTTGGCTATAATCATCTCATATCCAACAAGCGCGAGTGGAATAATTGTTTTATTAAAAACGCCCACAAAATCTTGTTGAATCTCCCCGACTAGAACAAACCGGAAAAGACAAGGGACTTCCACTATTCACATGTCACACGTCTATCAAAACTGTCAACTCGCGAACGGACTCGCCTGGACTGCATGAATGAAAAATCAAAACATTGTAGCGATGAACATCAGCTTTTTAAAAACTCATCGGGATTCTAGGATTTGACACAGCAGAACAGCTAAAAAAAACCTGGCAGATAATGTGAAGGAAAAGCAGTTTTAAGTGACAGCCTTCGAAATTACTGTGAATTTTGTTTTTGGTGCAATTATAAAGTAAAAACAATGGAGAAAAACTATTACCTTGGTCGCTTGTTATGAAGTTGTTTGAAGCCACAAGCTGGTTTTGCTGAACGAGAAAAGAAGCTATACCGCCGCCTCGATTGCTCTAGTGAATGGTTGCATAGCCTGTATTTGTAGCTGGTTACTTGTGATTTATATTCTTGATGTCGGATAAACAAGCCGCAGTTACCTATCGGCGAGTGACTCGATCGGCGAATGGCTTCGCGATCATGAAGAAACAACACTTCTCTTCTTTCGTAGCTGGTCAAGGTACTTTAGTTCCATGTGTTTTCATGTGTTTTTCGACAAACTTTCAAACAAGCTCTTGTGGCTTTTTTGTTTGTTTTTGTTGTTTTTCTTTCGATGAAATTGCAGTTCTAGTATTCTAAGAAATGAATTAAAACAATTTGCGTCGGGCGCCGTTGTATCCTTCGCGAAAAAAAATCTCAGCTAGCTTCCAATTTTAAACTGACGTGTGCACCGACCATATATGGAGAGCATGGTATAATAGCTCATATACCATAACGGCTAAGCCAATCAAAATGCTAGAATTGCATTATCCAATGATTCAGTTTTTAATAAAAGAGTTATATAACAGCTATATAACTGTTATATAACTATACTATTATATATAACTGTTATACTGTTATATAACAATTATATAACATAACAGTGTTATATATCAGTATATATAACAGTTATATAACTATTATATATAACTGTTATATAACAGGTATATCACAGTTATGTTATAACCATTAACGTCTGTTAACAGTGATAACAGTTATATAACATCAGACATCTGCTGTCATATCACTGTTATCAGACGTCCGATATTAGGCATCAGTCATCTGATAACAGTTGTATAACATAACATATAACATCAGACATCTGATAACAGTTATATGACAGCAGACGTCTGACAACAGTTATATGATGTCGACGTCTGTTATATATACTGTTATATAACAGTACATAACATGTGTTATATAACATAACTTATCATGTGTTTTATAACATAACATAACATGCGTTATATAACATAGCATTACATGTGTCATATAACATAACATATCATGTGTTATATAACATAACATGTGTTATATAACATCGCATAACATGTGTTATATAACATAGCATAACATGTGTCATATAACATAACATGTTATATAACATAGCATAACATGTGTTATATAACATAACATATCATGTGTTATATAACATAACATATATGTGTTATATAACATAACATATCATGTGTTATAGAACATAACATGTGTTATATAACAACATATCATGTGAAATATAACATAACATGTGTGATAGAACATAGCATATCATGTGTTATATAACATAACATATCATGTGTTATATAACATAACATATCATGTGTTATGTGTTATATAACATAACATATCATGTGTTATAGAACATAACATGTGTTATATAACATTGCATAACATGTGTTATATACATATCATGTGTTATATAACATAGCATAACATGTGTTATATAACATAGCATCATGTGTTATATAACATGACATATCATGTGCTATATAACAGAACATATGTGTTATATAACAGAAAATATCATGTGTTATATAACATAACATATCATGTGTTATATAACAGAACATAACATGTGTTTTATAACATATAACATATATAACATAACATATCAATGTGTTTATATAACATAACAACATGTGTGTTATATAACATATATTGTTATAACATAGAACAACATGTGTTATATAACATAACATATCATCATGTGTTATATAACATAACATATCATGTGTTATATGTGTTATATAACATAACATGTTTATAACATGTTATGTGTTATATAACATAACATAACATAACATAACATACCATGTGATTTTGTAACTTGTAAATATATAACATAACATTATATAGCTGTATTTTTGACATGTGTTATATAACGGAACTGGCAAATGTGTCATTCACTTTTTATAATATCATGTGTTATATAACATAACATATCATGTGTTATATAACATAACATATCATGTGTTATATAACAACATCTTTATCACATAACATGTGTTATAAGGAATTTAACATATAACATATGTGCTGGTTATAACATAAACATGTTTTATCACACAGTTGTTGTCTTATAACATAACATAAATATCATGTGTGATATATATAACAATGTTTTAACATAACATGTGTTATACATAATATCATGTGTTATATGGGTTTTATAATAAAACATAGTGCTATCTCAGTTATTTTATAAACATAACATATCATTTGTTATATAACATCGCATAACATGTGTTATATAACATCGCATAACATGTGCTATATAACGTAACATATCGTGTGTTATATAACATAACATATCATGTGTTATAGAACATAACATGTGTTATATAACATAGCATAACATGTGTTATATAACATAACATATCATGTGTTATATAACATAACATATCATGTGTTATATAACATAACATATCATGTGTTATATAACATAACATATCATGTGTTATAGAACATAACATGTGTTATATAACATAACATATCATGTGTTATATAACATAATATCATGTGTTATATAACATAACATATCATGTAATATAACATGTGTTATATATATAACATAACATAACATATCATGTGTTATATAACATAACATATCATGTGTTATAATAATAATAACATGTGTTCATGTGTTATAACATAACATAACATGTGTTATATAACATAACATATCATGTGTTATATAACATAACATATCATGTGTTATATAACATAACATATATATCATGTGTTATATAATAACATGTGTTATATAACATAACACATGTGTTATATAACATAAATATATCATGTGTTATATAATATTATGTAATATATCATGTGTTATATAACATATACATATAACATAACATAACATGTGTTATATAACATAACATACATGTGTATATATACATGTGTTTAACATATCATGTGTTATATAACATATATAATTTGTTATACATAACATGTGTTATATAACATAACATATCATGTGTTATATAACATAACATATCATGTGTTATATATAACATAATGTTATATAACATGTGTATATAACATAACATATCATGTGTTATATATAACATATCATAACATATCATGTGTTATATAACATAACATATCATGTGTTATATAACATAACATAACATGTGTTATATAACGTAACATATCATGTGTTATATAACATAACATAACATGTTATATAACATAACATAACATGTGTTATATAAACATAACATACATGTATAATATAACATATCATAACATATATAATATATAACATATCATGTGTTATAGAACATAACATATCATGTGTTATATAACATAACACATGTGTTATATAACATAACATAACATGTGTTATATAACATAACATATCATGTGTTATATAACATAACATGTGTTATATAACATAACATAACATGTGTTATATAACATAACATAACATGTGTTATATAACATAACATAACATGTGTTATATAACATAACATAACATGTGTTATATAACATAACATATCATGTGTTATATAACATAACATATCATGTGTTATATAACATCACATATCATGTGTTATATAACATAACATATCATGTGTTATATAACATAACATATCATGTGTTATATAACATAACATGTGTTATATAACATAACATAACATGTGTTATATAACATAACATAACATGTGTTATAGAACATAACATGTGTTATATAACATAGCATAACATTTGTATATAACATAACATATCATGTGTTATATAACATAACATATCATGTGTTATATAACATCGCATAACATGTGCTATATAACGTAACATATCATGTGTTATATAACATAACATATCATGTGTTATAGAACATAACATGTGTTATATAACATCCCATAACATGTGCTATATAACGTAACATATCATGTGTTATATAACATAACATATCATGTGTTATATAACATAACATGTGAAATATAACATAACATGTGTTATATAACATAGCATAACATGTGTTATATAACAACATATCATGTGTCATGTGTTATATAACATCGCATAACATGTGTTATATAACATTGCACAACATGTGTTATATAACATAGCATAACATGTGTTATATAACATAACATATGTGTTATATAACATAAGATATCATGTGTTATATAACGTAACATGTGAAATATAACATAACATGTGTTATAAAACATAACATATGTGTTATATAACATAGCATGACATGTGTTATATAACATAACCTGTCATGTGTTATATAACATCGCATAACTTGAGTTATATAACATGACATATCACGTGTTATACAACATGACATAACATGTGTTATATAACATAACTTATCATGTGTTTTATAACATAACATATGTGTTATATAACATAGCATTACATTTGTTATATAACATAAGATATCATGTGTTATATAACATAACATATGTGTTTTGTAACATAGCATGACATGTGTTATATAACATAACCTTTCACGTGTTATATAACATCGCATATCATGTGTTATATAACGTAACATATTATGTGTTATATAACATAACATAGCATTTGTTATATAACATAACTTATCATGTGTTTTATAACATAACATGTGTTATATAACATAGCTTGACATGTGTTATATAACATAACATATCATGTGTTATGTGTTATAGAACATAACATATGTGTTATAGAACATATCATGTGTTATATAACATACATAAGTTATACAATCATAACATAACGTGTTATATAGCATAGCATAATGTGTTATATAACACAACATAACATTTGTTATATAACATCATATAACATATCATGTGTTATATAACAAAATATGTGTTATATGACAACATGTGTTATATAACATAGCATATTATGTGTTATATAACATAACATATTTTGTGTTATCTAACATAAGATATGTTATACAAACATAACATAACATGTGTTATGTTATCACAGTTAACGTCTTTTAACTGTGATAACAGTTATATGGCAGCAGACATCTGCTGTCATATCACTGTTATCAGACGTCTGATATTAGGCATCAGTCATCTGATAACACTTATATAACATAACATAAAACATCAGACATCTGATAACAGTTATATGACAGCAGACGTCTGATAACAGTTATATGATGTCAGACGTCTGATAACAGTTATTTGACAGCAGATGTCTGGTGTCATATAACTGTTATCACATATAACAGACGTTAACAGTTAAAACATAACTGTTATATACCAGTTATGTTATATAACAGTATATATATCTGTTATATACTGTTATAACAGTAACGTAACTGACAGTTATAACATATGACTAATATATAACTGTTATATGAGAGTTATGTAACAGCTATATAACTGTTATATAACATTTATAACTATGCTATTCTATATCACTGTTATATAACAGTAACTATATAACTGTTATATAACTTTTTTTATACTGTTATATAACACAGTTATATATACTGTCATATAACAGTTATATAACTGTTATATAACACTGTTATATAACTGTTATTTAACAGTGTTATATAACTATTATATATAACTGTTACATATACTGTTACATAACAGTAAGTATAACTGTTATATAACACTGTTATATAGAACAGGATATATAACGGTTATATAACTGTCTTATAACAGCTGTATTACTGTTATATAAGTTATATAACAGTATATAACAGTTATGTTATAACTGTTAACGTCTGTTAAATGTGATAACAGTGATATGACAGCAGACATCTGCTGTCATATCACTGTTATCTGACGTCTGATAGTAGGCATCAGTTATCTGATAACAGTTATATAACATAACATATAACATCAGACATCTGATAACAGTTAGATGAGAGCAGACGTCTGATAACAGTGATATGATGTCAGACGTCTGATAACAGTTATATGACAGCAGATGTCTGCTGTCATATAACTGTTATCACAGTTAACAGACGTTAACAGTTACAACATAACTGTTATATACCAGTTATGTTATATAACAGTATATATAACTGTTTTATGACAGTTATATAACAGCTATATAAGTGTTATATATACTGTTATATATACCCTCATATAACTGTTATATATAACAGTATATAGCAGTTATATAACTGTTATATACTTTTATATAACAGTATATATAACAGTTGACCTAACATAACATTACATAACATACATTACATTACATTACATAAAAACATAACAACATAACATAACAAACATAACATAACATAACAACATTACGTAACATAACATTACATTACATAATATAACATAACAAACATAACATTACATTACATTACATAACAACATAACATAACATTACATTACATTACATTACATAACAACATAACATAACGTAACATAACATAAAACATAAGAAATATAACATAACATTACATAACAACATTACATTAGAACATTACATTGCATAACGTAACTTAACATAACAAACATAACATTACATTACATTACATAACATAACATAACAACATAACATTACATAAAATTACATTACATTACATAACATAACATAACATAACATAACATAACATAACATAACATACAATATATAACATAACAAACATAACAAACATAACATAACGTGTGTTAATGTCAAATATCTAAAACTTAGTTTCCCAAAAATACCCTTAAAAAATGCTGTTTTATTTTTACTTTAAAT